CTGCATCGTGGCATCAGTCCCAGGAGGAGCGATGTTGCTGGCATAGGAGGTGAGGCTGGCGTAGGCGAGGCTAAAGGAAAGTCCGTGGAGGAGCTGCACCATGAGGAACAACCAGGCGTTGTTGAAGATAGAGAGCAAGATAAACCGCAGGCAGAAGACCATGAGCGAAGTAAAGTATGCGTTGAAGTAACCGAACTTCTTAATAAAACGACCTGAAACACGTTTTCCAAATGCTATTATTATTTCTGTACAGGGTTGAGAATTCTGTTCACATACTCAACTTTTTTCACATTCTTGTCTTTTCTTACATTTTGTTTTCTTTGTTTGCAACTATTACACATCGCCCACTCACCCGCCACGAAGAAAAGGGGAACCTCCGACAGCAGACACTGGACCCCCAGCATGAGCCCTTCAAGTATCTTGAGGTAAGGATAGTTGGGGCCCATGAGGTCCTCCACTAACATGAGCTGGAAGGTATCCACTGTGGAGCAGGAGGCCCCGAGAACCAGTGTCGCTATCTGTTGGAGATATGAAAAGATAAATCATTTTATTTCAAAGTGTGAGAAAACGGCGTTATAGGAAGATAAATGTTTTTTACAAACAGATAAAAGGTGAATACGTATATAAAAGTATACCTTTTCATGAAAACGCGGTGTATTTGCATGTGTGTGTGTGTGTGTGTGTGTGTGTGTGTGTGTGTGTGTGTGTGTGTGTGTGTGTGTGTGTGTGTGTGTGTGTGTGTGTGTGTGTGTGTGTGTGTGTGTGTGTGTGCGTGTGTGTGTGGGGGGGGGTGCGTGTGCGTGTGCGTGTGGGTGTGCGTGTGCGTGTGCGTGTGCGTGTGCGTACGTGCGTGCGCCCGTGCGTGCGTGCGTACATGCGCCCGCGCACTATAAGGCTTCTGTGTGGCTGCACACAACTAACCAAAATAATGACAGTTGGCGGCTGCGACAAAACGTTGAAGACGGTAGCGCACGTGATTTTGGAGCTGCTGGTGCTGAACTTGAGGCCGCACACCACCATCACATCCATCACAAGGAATAGGAACGTCATCACATAGGCCGGCCAGTAATCCTTCTGGTCTTTGCCCTGTCAGAAAAATAACTAACTTAAACAGACACATCCTTGTGTCAATAGCACTTATCCACGCCAATCAATGCGAATATCCTCGGCGTCTGATGACAATTACCACTCATCTGCAGAACTGACCTTTTCTAAGTTCATTGGCCGTGAACGAAACTTGAGAATTTCAGCCCACTCACCTGAGAATACCAGTCCACCATAAGTCCCCCGGTCACGGCGCCGAAGCCCCATCCCAGGGAACCCCACAGGCGCTGTTTACCGAAATCCTGGCTTCCATTGCCTGAAATGTACCGCAGGCATTATCTGATCAGGTAGAAAACTTCAAAGAATTATATCACTGACAGAAACTTTGTATTCTGCAATGTTATTTCTATGTTGCATACAGACTTTATTTAAAAAGTCGTTACGTTGAACTGTTCACCAAACAATAAATCAGTTAAAGCAACGTGTCTCACCAAGCAGCTGGTAGCAGAGAGCCTCCTGGAGGGTGACCGAAGCGCTCTGGCAGCAGAACTGAATCAACAGACAAGCTAGCAGGAACCAGAATTCCGTTCGGCTTAGGAGGTACTCTACTGTCACTTCATCTGAAATAGTAAAAGCAATGGCCGATATGTACTAAAAAATAAAAGAAACCTGGAATGGGTGACAGAAAGAGAAAGTGATATCAACATATCATAAGCGAATGCGAGAACTCTGCAGCATGGCCAGTCACGAAGACAACATGCACTCAAATTCTCCCTTAGTCCAATAGCCGTTCCATCATTACTTGGTAGCGAAAAAGCTCCGGCTATTATCGGGCTAAAATCAATGCATTTAGATATTGCGATACCTGTAGCCGGTAGACCATGTGAATCCTTAGCGCCAGGTGGGGCACGGGGGGGGCTAAGGTCCGGTATGAAGTAAATGCATGAAAGCGCAGCTGTCAAGAAGGATATACAGGATGCCATGACAGCCCGGTGCGCTTTCAGATGGTCCGATAGAGGCCCTGTAACGGCCTTTACTCCCAAGCTGAAAGAAGAAAAAGGAAAATGTTTTTTGTTCATCCTTTACCTGGTTCCTCTCTTATTCAAAATGCAAAACGACAGTCGTTCCGCGATACCTTATTACATCTAGCCATGTGTTTTCAAAGATGCGTAAAAAAAAATCCTTCTCGCATTCCTCAGCGTCCAGAATGGAAGGTTAAACATGGAGGGAACTGCTTCCGGAGCATTTGACTCTATTCAGGCTGTTTTAAGGATTAGCTTTGGGATTCGATTTCTTATCACGAAAATAATATCCACCATAAGTTACCGGACTAATGATGTGGGAAACCTTTATCTTTTCTTATTATAACAGTCACAGTAACAGATATAAACAGAAGTGTAAGAATGAATGGGCCCACAAGATACCTTACCTGACCATAGAAAGTATCGTCCAGATG